GAGAGTGATTACATTCCAATGTATCCAAGTGACAGGTAAACGATCTTGCTGACAGATGATCAGCAATTACAAGACAAGAAGGAGGAGCGACCTCAAATGTTTGTTTACAGGCTCTCACCCTCTCCCTCTCCTGATTTTTCACCCTTTCCCCCAAACAGAGAGGCTGTTCTGAGGCTAAATTATTATAACATTTCGAACTACCTTTCTTTTTTTCTCAGATATAACCTTGATAACTCTACTTCAAATAGAACTATTTGCTTAATAAATCTGGTCTTGTTTTTACCCTAATTTATATGTTTTTGAACCAAGACCCTCCTTGGATAAGGTTCTACAATCCGATTTACCCCAGCGTGACTGCAGCTGCAGATTTTCTTTCGAACACTAAACGACTTGTTGACTATCGTGCTGTGGAAAAGTGTGCGTTCCCTAAATAACAAACGCTTGAAAAAATGACCTTGCCAGAGAGTGGTATGATGCTGTTCGATAGGGCTGTCATGGGTATGCTGCTATTTACAAACTTTCTCCACTATAGAATATGGCAAAAGCTTTTAGTCCTACTTCGTAAATGTAAGAAAAAAAAAGAACGTGACACAGCCTGGATGCTGGCAATACTGTACTATCAAAAAGGTGAATACAAGGAAGCACAACAATATCTTCAGAAAGCACTTACCATCAACACAGAAATTGGCGACAAAGACGGACAAGCGTCATGCTACGGAAGCCTAGGAAACGTGTTTCATTCTGTCGGAGAATATGCCAAGGCTGAAGAATATCTTCAGAAAGCACTTACCATCAAGACAGAAATTGGCGACAAACACGGACAAGCAACATGCTACATAACCCTAGGAAACGTATTTCGTTCTGTTGGAGAATATTCCAAGGCTGAAGAATATCTTCAGAAAGCACTTCCCATCAACACAGAAATTGGCGACAAACACGGACAAGCGTCATGCTACATAAACCTAGGAAACGTGTTTCATTCTGTCGGAGAATATGCCAAGGCTGAAGAATATCTTCAGAAAGCACTTCCCATCAACACAGAAATTGGCGACAAACACGGACAAGCGTCATGCTACATAAGCCTAGGAAACGTGTTTCATTCTGTCGGAGAATATGCCAAGGCTGAAGAATATCTTCGGAAAGCACTTCCCATCAACTCAGAAATTGGCGACAAACCCGGACAAGCGTCATGCTACATAAACCTAGGAAAGGTGTTTCGTGCTGTTGGAGAATATGCCAAGGTTGAAGAGTATCTTCAGAAAGCACTTCCCATCTACACAGAAATTGGCAACAAAGACGGACAAGCGTCATGCTACGGAAATCTAGGAAACGTGTTTTATTCTGTCGGAGAATATGCCAAGGCTGAAAAATATCTTCAGAAAGCACTTCCCATCAAGACAGAAATTGGCGACAAACACGGACAAGCGTCATGCTACATAAACCTAGGAAACGTGTTTTGGTCTGTCGGAGAATATGCTAAGGCTGAAGAATATTATCAGAAAGCACTTCCCATCTACACAGAAATTGGCGACAAACACGGACAAGCGTCATGCTACATAACCCTAGGAAACGTGTTTCGTTCGGTTGGAGAATATGCCAAGGCTGAAGAATATCTTCAGAAAGCACTTCCCATCAAGACAGAAATTGGCGACAAAGACGGACAAGCGTCATGCTACATAAACCTAGGAAACGTGTTTCATTCTGTCGGAGAATATGCCAAGGCTGAAGAATATGTTCAGAAAGCACTTCCCATCTACACAGAAATTGGCAAAAAACACGGACAAGCGTCATGCTACATAACCCTAGGAAACGTGTTTTGTTCTGTTGGAGAATATGCCAAGGCTGAAGAATATCTTCAGAAAGCACTTACCATCAACACAGACATTGGCAACAAAGACGGACAAGCGTCATGCTACATAAACCTAGGAAACGTGTTTCTTTCTGTCGGAGAATATGCCAAGGCTGAAGAATATTTTCAGAAAGCACTTACCATCTACACAGAAATTGGCAACAAAGACGGACAAGCGTCATGCTACATAAACCTAGGAAACGTGTTTCGTTCTGTCGGAGAATATGCCAAGGCTGAAGAATATCTTCAGAAAGCACTTACCATCAAGACAGAAATTAACGACAAACACGGACAAGCGTCATGCTACATAAACCTAGGAAAGGTGCTTCATTCTGTCGGAGAATATGCCAAGGCTGAAGAATATCTTCAGAAAGCACTTCCCATCAACACAGAAATTGGCGACAAACACGGACAAGCGTCATGCTACATAAACCTAGGAAACGTGTTTCATTCTGTCGGAGAATATGCCAAGGCTGAAGAATATCTTCAGAAAGCACTTCCCATCAAGACAGAAATTGGCGACAAACACGGACAAGCGTCATGCTACATAAGCCTAGGAATGGTGTTTCGTGCTGTTGGAGAATATGCCAAGGTTGAAGAGTATCTTCAGAAAGCACTTCCCATCTACACAGAAATTGGCAACAAAGACGGACAAGCGTCATGCTACGGAAAACTAGGAAACGTGTTTTATTCTGTCGGAGAATATGCCAAGGCTGAAAAGTATCTTCAGAAAGCACTTCCCATCAAGACAGAAATTGGCGACAAACACGGACAAGCGTCATGCTACATAAGCCTAGGAATGGTGTTTCGTGCTGTTGGAGAATATGCCAAGGTTGAAGAGTATCTTCAGAAAGCACTTCCCATCTACACAGAAATTGGCAACAAAGACGGACAAGCGTCATGCTACGGAAACCTAGGAAACGTGTTTTATTCTGTCGGAGAATATGCCAAGGCTGAAGAATATCTTCAGAAAGCACTTACCATCAAGACAGAAATTGGCGACAAACACGGACAAGCGTCATGCTACATAAGCCTAGGAAACGTGTTTTGGTCTGTCGGAGAATATGCCAAGGCTGAAGAATATTATCAGAAAGCACTTCCCATCTACACAGAAATTGGCGACAAACACGGACAAGCGTCATGCTACCTAAACCTAGGAAACGTGTTTCATTCTGTCGGAGAATATCCCAAGGCTGAAGAATATCTTCAGAAAGCACTTCCCATCAAGACAGAAATTGGCGACAAACACGGACAAGCAACATGCTACATAAACCTAGGAAACGTGTTTTATTCTGTCGGAGAATATGCCAAGGCTGAAGAATATCTTCAGAAAGCACTTCCCATCAACACAGAAATTGGCGACAAACACGGACAAGCGTCATGCTACGGAAGCCTAGGAAACGTGTTTCATTCTGTTGGAGAATATGCCAAGGTTGAAGAGTATTTTCAGAAAGCACTTCCCATCTACACAGAAATTGGCAACAAAGACGGACAAGCGTCATGCTACGGAAACCTAGGAAACGTGTTTTATTCTGTCGGAGAATATGCCAAGGCTGAAAAATATCTTCAGAAAGCACTTACCATCAAGACAGAAATTGGCGACAAACACGGACAAGCGTCATGCTACATAAACCTAGGACACGTGTTTTGGTCTGTCGGAGAATATGCCAAGGCTGAAGAATATTATCAGAAAGCACTTCCCATCTACACAGAAATTGGCGACAAACACGGACAAGCGTCATGCTACATAAACCTAGGAAACGTGTTTCATTCTGTCGGAGAATATGCCAAGGCTGAAGAATATCTTCAGAAAGCACTTCCCATGAAGACAGAAATTGGCGACAAACACGGACAAGCAACATGCTACATAAACCTAGGAAACGTGTTTTATTCTGTCGGAGAATATGCCAAGGCTGAAGAATATTATCAGAAAGCTTTTCCCATCAACACAGACATTGGCGACAAACACGGACAAGCAACATGCTACATGAGCCTAGGAAAGGTGTTTTGTTTTGTCGGAGAATACTCCAAGGCTGAAGAATATCTTCAGAAAGCACTTACCATCACGACAGAAATTGGCGACAAACGCGGACAAGCGTCATGCTACGGAAAGCTAGGAACCGTGTTTCGTTCTGTCGGAGAATATGCCAAGGCTGAAGAATATCTTCAGAAAGCACTTCCCATCAACACAGAAATTGGCAACAAACACGGACAAGCGTCATGCTACGGAAGCCTAGGAAAAGTGTTTGGTTCTGTCGGAGAATATGCCAAGGCTGAAGAATATCTTCAGAAAGCACTGACCATCGACACAGAAATTGGCGTCAAAGGCGGAGTAGGGACATCCTACGTAAACCTTGGATCTTTGTGTCTAACTATCGGTGAACATGCCAAGGCTGAAGAATATTTTAGAAAAGCTATTCAACTTAGCAAGGACACTGGAGACATCGAATTGCAGTTTGAAGCTCACCTAAGTCTAAATTATTGTTCTTTAGCATTAACAGGAAACGCATCTGAAGCTTTATCGAATCTCCGTACTAGCATTGAGAAGTGCGAGATAATCCTTAACCTTCTACCAAACAAAGATCGATACAAGATATTATTTTTTGATAAGCACGCTTCCCCCTATCGACTGTTTAGTTCACTGTGTTGTGCTTCTGGGAAACACTATGAGGCTTTACACGTTGCTGAGCTTGGCAGAGCCAGAGCTCTAGTAGACCTAGTATCAGATCGGTATTTTGTGGAGAAAGAAATATCCCTCGACCCAGAATCGTTTGCTGGCATTTTGAAGGTCATTAGAGATAGTAGTAACCGTACTTGCCTATACATTTCCTACCATGATGAAGATATATTTCTTTGGACTGCAAAACAAAGCAAGCCGATAGCTTTCCGAAAAACGAAACTTTCTGAGAGCTATGTTAGCAAGCACGGAAAACTGTCTGTGGATGACCTTTTTAAAGAGGGAAGATTATTAAGAAATTTTTACGTTTTACCTCAAGAGCAATGCGAAGACCGATCACTCTTCTCCTCGTACGCCAGCCAACTTACAAACGAACCAAATCTGGAAGATAGTCTCTCATCCTTGCGTCCTGTTTGGGATGAGGAAGAAGTAAACACAAACCCTGAACCGCTAACACTGCTTCAGCTTTACAACATGTTGATTGCTCCCGTAAGTGACTTGCTAGAAGGATCTGAAATCATTGTTGTTCCTGATCGCTGCCTCTTCCAAGTTCCGTTTGCAGCATTACATGATGAATGTAGCCGCTACTTATCAGACACTTTCAGGATACGCATTGTCCCTTCTTTGACGACTCTCAAGCTCATTCTGGACAGTCCAGCGGGCTCTCACAGCGAAACTGGTGCATTGATTGTGGGTGAGCCGAATGTAACGGATGTGTATTTCAAGGGAGAGTTAAGGTATCTCTGTAAATTGCCTGGCGCGAAAGCGGAGGCACAGATGATTGCAAGACTCGTACCTGAATCTCACCTTTTAATTGGAGAGCAAGCAACAAAGCAGGCGGTTCTCCAGAGACTACCTTTAGTGAGTCTCGTACATTTCGCTGCTCATGGTGATGCCGAAAGAGGAGAAATTGCTCTTACCCCACCTCACTCTGCAATGCGTCCTCCACATGAAGCAGACTACTTACTCTCAATGGCCGACATCTCACAAGTTAGACTAACCGCCAAACTGGTGGTCCTTAGCTGTTGCCATACCGCACGTGGACAGATCAAAACAGAAGGCGTTGTTGGAATCGCTCGAGCATTCTTAGGATCGGGTGCACGCTCAGTAGTGGTGGCATTGTGGGCGTTACAAGACGATGCAACAGAGCAGTTCATGAGAAGATTCTACGAAAACCTTGTCCAAGGAGAAAGTGCAAGTGAATGTCTTCACCAGGCCATGAAGTGGATGCGAAATAACGGTTTCTCTGAAGTGAGGCAGTGGGCACCTTTCATGCTGATTGGGGATGACGTGTCATTCCACTTTGGTGAAGAATTAAAAGTAAAGTGAAGGTAATTGCTTTCCAATAATAAGGGCCATAGGAAGTCTGCCAGGTCTTTTTGTATTGCAGTTTTATCAACTTTACATCATGTACTTTTAAGTACTAAATAAAAAGCAGTATTTACACATATATGCCACATTGTTGACTAAATCTGAAGTCAGCTTTTACAATGAATGAGGTAAAATATCAATCAACTGTTTTTTTAACATCGAAGATACTAAACAATACTGACCGGACGCTTCAGCTAGCGCTCCGCGTCATCGCATATGTGTATTTGTTGTTAGGCTATAGTTAAGATCATTTCTTCTTTTTCTTCGTCGACTAATGTTACTTTTAGTTGTATTAAGTTGTATTTTTTTTCCTGTAAACATGACCCGCCTACCCGCGAGCATGTTATAATTATACTTTTACCTCAAAACACAAAAAAAAATGTATGTATATATGTAAACACCACAATTATTTGACCACACTTCAGTATTTATCAGTCAAAATCACAACCTATGCATATGTGAGGCTTTGCATTTAAAAACAAAAACACAAAAGCCCCGTATTCCTGCAATAACACAGAATGATTTTAAATCTTTTCTCTTTTCCTTATATATGAAGCACAAATAATTGAATATTGTTTCGGAATAAAAATATTATGGCGGAGATCTAGATCTGAAAATTGATCGAAAACCCCGAAAACTACAAATTGTGGACTGTGTATGGAGTTTTGACCGTAACTAGAGGGCTTTTCACGGACACTAACTGAAGTACAGCAGTACACTGGTTCTAAACGTGGACCAAAGAGGAAAGACTGAGATTCAAGAGGTCATCAAGGAAAGAAGTTTCAAACCTATTTTAGCTGTGCACCCTGTTTTTCATTTATGATGCCAGTAATTGGAAAGTTTTAGCGGTGAGATAAATTTAAATAAGTAATTAAACCTCTTCCGTGACAATAAAGCCGGAGGATCCCTCTTCCATGTAAAGTGAACCTAAATGCCATTTACCTCAGCCGAAGTCTTTTGTAATGAATATATGTGTTTTACTAATTTTTATGTTTCCTATACATTACTGTTGCAGGTATTACACTAACGACACACCATCGAATAACAAAACAGCCCTTCCGCTGAATTCCAATGAGGTAGTTCGTGGTGGAAAATGTAGAGGTCAACCTCTTCAGCATACGAACATAACCCAGACAAGAAGAATTCAAAAGAGAACTGACTTGCTTGGCCCAGCCGCTCATGTTTGTCGACTTAATTATTTTTCCCACTGATTTTAATCTGTGTGTGTGTGTGGGTGTGTGTTTGAGTGTAGGTACCTTGAATACTCTAATCTCTAAAATGTCTTGCAAAAGTGCTGATCACCAGCTTTGTAAAAGTGTACATCGGTAGCTCGGACAATGATACAACTATAATTGCGACACGAATAACATTTCCCTATCTATTTAGGTTATTTGTTAACTTACTTTCTTAATTAGTTCCCAGGGCTACAACTAAAAAATACTTTTCACGTAAACGAGATTCTTAATGCAAATTGAAGTGCAAATGCAAACAACACTGCAAGGTTTATAGTTTAGTAAAATTGTATATATTTTAGAATCAATCTCTCCGTGAACATAGAAGTAGTAATTTTGCAACCTTGTCCAAACTCCAAACTAGTCATCACAGTTGTAAACTAAAGGTTATTTCATTGTGTGATGTTCATGCCGGAGAATAGGTTATATAGTACTTGTTTTAAGTATAATCCACCTAAAAAGCAAAGATTTGGTGGTCCAGTTTTCTGTAGTGCTTTGAGTAGGAACAGCATGTCGCGAATCCGAGAAGGTCGCACATGGAGGTTTCATTGTAATCTGTATATACATGTACGTGATCTATATAAAATGCCAAGACTTGGTGGTCCAGTTTTCAGTAGTGCTTTGAGTATTAAAACTAATCTTAGTCTGAGTTTGAACAACATGTCGCGAATCCGAGAAGGTCGCACATGGAGGTTTCATTGTAATTTCTACATGTGTAATCCATATAAAATGCCAAGATTTGGTGGTCCAGTTTTCAGTATTGCTTTTAGTAGGTAAGCTAATTTTAGTAGTTTGAACAGCATGTCGCGAATCCGAGAAGGTCGCACATGGAGGTTTCATTGTAATTTCTATAAATGTAATCCATATAAAATGCCAAGATTTAGTGGTCCAGTTTTCAGTATTGCTTTTACTAGGTAAGCTAATTTTAGTAGTTTGAACAGCATGTCGCGAATCTCGAGAAGGTCGCACATAGAGGTTTCATTGTCATTTGTATATATGTAATCTCACCAGGTTTTTAAGAATAAGGTATATTTGAGATAATAAATTCAACGACGAACACTTTGTTTATCCTTTCGTTGTTAAGGGTCCTCCTGATAATTATCTACTTGCTCTTTAACAAAAAAAATCATTCTAAATTAAAGAGATTTATAATCACATTCACGGTCAGTAGCCGATTAAATTGTTGTCTACTTGCTGTACTCTACACAAAAACGTTAGTACTTTGAAATTCATGTCGATCAGTGTAATCCATAACAATTATTATGCACAGTTTGTATCTGTTCATTTCCTAATTCAAGAAAATATCGCCTGGGGTTTAATGTTTTTTTTTCTTTTTTTAATAACATTTATTTGGTTACAACACTTCTAATGACAATACTTACATTTACATGGAGGAAAAATAAAAACAAGGTACAAGAGATAAAGGAAAAATACGATGTTACAGCATTTGCAACTAATTAAGCCTAAAAAAAATTGACCACTATTTGCAAAATTGCAAAATAAAACACGATACAACAAAAACATAAGGAGTCTGTCCTACCAACTAAAAGGTGATTTGCATTTGCATTTGTTTCTGCATCACTTTTAACTTTTGGAACTTTTGGAATTATTTAATAATGGCAAGTTTATTTGTCCGAGGGGCAAAGTTTAAGAGGGCTCCATTTGTTTTTGAAGGAGGACATATTGATATTATTAGAGGCAATCTCTTTTTCAATTTCCATGGAGTTCATAACGGTTTGTATATAAACCTGTAGCGCAGGGTTGCAGTTATTTAACTTACATGTGTAAATATATCGTTTGGCGATAAGGAAAAGGTGATGTAGTAATAAATCAGATATATTAGCAATTAGTTCAAGACAGATAAGAGGAGAGAAGGCAATAGATTTGTTTAAGGTGGTGTTTTGAGTTATCCATTGATAAATGTCTCTCCAGAATTTTTGAGTGTAACTGCAATACCAGAACAGGTGGGCAAGGGTTTCAGTAAATTCCCCGCGGAAAGAACAGGAGTCTGCTTGTTTTAGGCCGATTTTAAAGAGGAAGTCGTTTGTTGCTATTCGTCTGTGGAGGAACACTCGTAACTTTGTTTCTGTTGTACACAGAAAGGGGAGACAATATGTATTCTCCCAGTTCACGTTCGCATTTCCTATTATATTTTCCTTAGACAGCCATTTTCCCTGGCTTTTAAGAGGGGTGGTGGCCTTTTTTTCGATAATTGATTTGTAAACGGTTTTACAGGCTTTTGTCTCAGGCTAATAATGTTTGCCCAAAGGTCTTGGTTTTGGGTCCTCTGTTGGGTTGTCGAGAACACTTTTGCCTGAACAGTTTAACGGATGATACTACCTTATAGAATTCTAGAAAGTTAGTCTTGATTTTATATTTAGCGGTAAATGCATGCAGTATAGCATAATATAAACTTTCCGTCCGTGTCAAGGATGTCTTTAACATCTTTCACACCTGCGGTGAACCAAGATTTATAGAAAATTGGTTTGTTCTCTATTCTTATGAGGGAGTTGTGCCAGATCTGAGCTGACGTGAAATCTAGATTGTTGTCCTTATAATTTAGGGTCGTCCAATATTCCATAATCTCAGCTAAAAATGGATCTCGCAGATTAAAACGGCTTGGAAACTAAAATTTGATAGCATTTTGTTTTGAATAAGGGTATGGGCATGATTTTCAGTTGAACATGCTTAGCGAGCGTAAAAATCGCATCCAGTCTGAGGATTAATGAGAGAGGGAAAATTTTATATATTTAGGCATGACAAAATTCAAGGGAACATTGGTACTTAGAAACAACATCTCATAGGCATGGAAAAAATGGGTTCATGCCCTCGCAGCCCAAAATTGACCCAGCTAAACTTAGTTCCCAGATCTCTCGCCGGGTTGATAATTCATTCCCAGTTTTTGCTCCCCTGGTTTGGCATGCCGGGCATGCAGATCGTGAAGCCAGTTGGTTTGGCATGCCCGGCATGCCAGGCAAGAAATTCGCATGCCCAGCGAGACTGATTTTGATGTTCGCTACAGCATCATATCCTGAGAATCACATATAATCGCCAAATATATCTTAGGGAGCTTGAAATGACAGGTTTAATGCCTGGCAATAAATGCTGATTATAACAAAAAAAGTCATGTTTGTCACAATGTGTGTCACGGGATCGACTGGCAAAACCGAAGACAGAAGCCTGGATTTATAAATAAAAAGCACAACAAAACAACATTATTCATGCATAAAATAGAATACTTAACTTGCAATCAAAGATTAATCCTTTTATTTCAAACCGATACTGACATTTCTGGGTCCATATTTAAATTTGATCCCGGAAAAGCGTCTTAATTAAACAATAAGATAACAAATCTTCTCAGTATAAACTTATTCATGCTTAAGTTTTATCGCGTCGGAATGTTTCCTGGTCAACAGCATAAAAGACTGGTGAAAATTAAGCTTACCAGGTCGTTCAAGTCAGTACGAGAGTACGACGTTAATACTGCAAAGACGTTCTGATCTGGTGAATTTGGACTGCCTTCTCAGAGAGATTTTGCTTAGTTTTTCAGTGCGCTTCTTGTCGGCTATGCGAATCTCGCAAACTGTTTAGTCCTTGCTGACGATAGTCCTTTGAGCAACGTCATCTGCGTCATCCGAAGATACCCCGAGCACGCACGAAATCGACCGAATTTCCACAGAAGTGTTTTCGGATGACGATGAATCTAGTTTGTTGTAGCGTGGCAGTTGTGGCGTCACGATGTCGTCATGTCTCTTCGCATTTGTTTGTCTTTTTTTTCTGCGGTGCATGGTTGAGATGTTGGTGAAAGCTGGACAAGAAATGGATTCTGCGAGAGACTGTAAGTACAAATTTAGTATTAATTTGGTAAAGAAAAAGCCTGAATATCGAACAAATCCCGTGAATTAGTCTTTTGGCATTCAGTTGATCTTACTGTTGAGCATGCCTAAGAACTCCGGCAGAAGTGTCATAAGTGGTTGTCAACTCGTTCACTTCGGATTGTTTCTGATTGTATGTCTTGTAATCTTCTTCTGCTGCTAAGAAGACTAGAGAAAACCTCAAAAATAAAGAAACCAAAGCTAAAAAAAGTCAGATCTAATTTTATAGCTCGAGTATAATTATTTTTGGCACCTACGGTCATATTTTTTCACTGTACTGGTAAAGTTACTTATTTTTTGCTGCATAGTTTGACTGTTGTTCGAAAGACAATCAAACGGATATTACAATCACTTTTGGAGACAAAATAAAATATCCGTAAATCAAATGCCAAAATCAGATTTGGATTTCGCTTTATAAAATGAACATGCTGCAGGTGTCAATGCAAAGTTGTAAACAACTCAGTATAAGCAGTCTGTGAATGTGCGTTTAGGTCCACAAAACTAATTTTCTTTTGGACATCTCATCCAAGCAAAGACTTAAGGCTTACATTGCTTGTCTACGAGTGTACCACAAAATGCTTTGTTACAGTAAGCCTCTGAGAGGCGATTCTGGTAAATTTATAGGACGCTAAAATGCAAATAATTTAAAGCTTAAACAACCTGGCTGGGTCCGACTTTGAATTACAAAATGTTCACGTTTGCTGGCTCTACTTTAAATGAACATGGTTTTGAAATGATTTTGTACTATTTTTAACCCGAAAATTATGACTGGGTTATAAAAGCTTTTAAAACGGACGAAAACTAAGCTAATAAACATGTTCAATGTAAAAACTAAGATTTAGTCGCTTTTCAACTTTGCTTTGTGGACCGAAAAATTTACCTTACGCAAAAACAAAAAGCAAATAATAGGGCTTTTATTCGACATATTTTCTCAGAATTTTATCTGTCAATTTAATGTCACTAGCATTGTTTTCGCATAAGATTTTCCTAATTATATGAGCTTTATTTTAATAATTTTGATACTCTATAAACTTCTCATTTGATAGCTTCTTTTTATACACCGATTGAAAACAAATTCGCTCTCTCGTTAAATCCTATTTTATGACCTATTTATTAGAACTCTAGGTAACATACCAAATGGTGTAAACGGACAGGCTGAACCTTTAGTCCTAATTTATTTTTTCTTCGCGTCCCCTAATCAGTTGACGGGCCGTGGGAGAATATCGCCACAAAAAGATGCGAAAAAAGTTTTCGCTGAGTTTCCTTTACATATTTCCGGCTTTATATGGGTCTACACCTTACCTGCTTAAAAAAATGAAACTGTTGTTCAATTAAGCCAGTCAAACTCAGTATAATCTTGACTTGCAAATCCAAATGCAAAGGTTTATTTCGCAGTAGAAGAGCGTGTAAACATCATCGAACAACGCAATGTAAATTAGTAATATTAAACCACGTTTCTTTCACTTTATTTACCATGCATTTATCTCAATTGCACACTCTTGTGAAATTAGCCTCAGACAATTAGCAGTTGCGACCTTTAAC